AGCGCAGCAATAGAAACAACGCAATATGCGCGGAAAATTGTCCGAGAGTTACTGGAATAAAACAGGTTAAAAAAAGCTTTTCGATGTATAAAATTGACGATGAAACATAGTATTTTTTCTCTTACAATCTATCTCGTATGTATTTTGCTGTGTAATAAATCCCAAATTTTTAATTGTAAATCACAAATACACCTAGATCTATCGGCATTTGCCGGTTCACTGGTGAATGTACAACCAGATGTCTAGTCAGATAGGAACAGCAACCAGAAGCCGGGCAATTACACAACATCAAAGACAAACAGGACGCAGTCTACACTGCCTACCTCGTCAGCCGCGCGTTATTCGAACCAAAGGTAACTGCAGCATCGACCTTGCGATTGCATCTGTCATTGCAAACAGTGGCGTTTTAAAATTTATTGAGCTTACTGGTAAAGTACAGAGTAAGGAGTTGATACAGTATGTCTGAAATACTATCCAGGTTTCGATGCTGAAGACTGACGAGGATGGCACACGTATATTATTCTGGGACCCGCGTAAGTTACATTTGGTGCAGATTCGCTTCTCAAGGTGAACGGTGCTGACCTTCACAGTTCATGTTCATGTCATTTGAAGTTCACTATCAGGAATGCACGACGTAGCTGAAATATATGCGCCAAACTTTCAACCATATATATATATATATATATATATATTGGTGTATTTATTATGCGCGTCTATTCACACATTTTACTCGACAGTCATTCATCCTCTAGGTAACCGTAGCCTTGGAAAACGGAATACATATAGAATGTTTAGAATCTTTCTGATACTGATTGTTGGGCTCAGCGTTAATCCCTGGTGAAGAATAGCTAGCAGATTTGAGAGGTTTAGGTCCAAGTTCTTACATAAACTGAGAAGTGCTAACGACGCCCAAACCCACTTGCAAGTGGAATTACCTGATTAGCGAGTCAAAGGATGTAAAACGGAGGATTTAATTCAAGTCCACCCAAAAAAATTTAGCTATAACAAATGAGCCCCGTGAGCACCTGCATTAGTATTTTATTCGGCTTAATACTAGGTTATTGTCCGCGTTCATGTCTGAGTAAGATAGAAGAATGTTGGGTTATTTGTAGAACCAAAACATGCACCTTTCGATATGGTAGTTGGTAACCTTGAAAATTAGTAACGGTACACCAAATTGTACTTTTTCTCACCTATATGAGTGTCAGTGTTTTTAGCTATAAGTGTTTCATGCCCACTGCACATCGGCTGTGGATATGAATCAAACTCTCAACACAGTCACATCACGTGATGTGCTGAGTAGAGCATAAAAACAAATGCCGCATTTGATGTCAAATATGCAAAAAAAAGGCGGTTGGCAAGATCGTTTGATTTGGTTAGCTAAACTGTGAAAGACCGTCTGATTTTAGTTACCGAACAGTGTAGACTAGTCACCTGGCTAGAAAGTTATTGTGCAATGTTTACAGATTCATCCATTTTTAGGCAGCAGAAACAATAAACTTAAGTCTGTAAACCTCTGAAATATCAGAGAAAAATGCGATAAACCGTTGAATCCTCTGAAACAATCAAATTCGAGTAAGAATCACGAGTAAAGACCGTCCTCTAAACAAGTTGTGGGTTTATGACAGTTTGAGGATTTTTTGTGACTTTCATATAGGACCAAAAAGTTACGAGATCGGAGCACCGGAGTTTCGTGGGATATGCGCTGCTGATGGTTCTCAATAGGGATGAAATAACCATGCATTATTTCTAGGCCTTTCAACATGTACTAGCCTTGAGGATAAAACGAGGTTCAATTCAACAATGGTAGTCTCCTTAAATTAATTAATTCCAAGTATCCAAATTTTTTTTGTGAACAGCCTGATGAAAATTTTCACGTTAAACAACATGCGTGATCTTCTAAATTCCTCGGCCCAAAGGTTTGTATGTATAACATACGCATACAAATATAATTGTATCGGATATATGATCAAGACAAATTAGGTAAACTGTTTCTCCACTGAATGTTCACACCCTTTTTTTGCGTATCAAAACGTATGCAATTAGGAATATTGAGTATATGACTTGTTTTGTTGCTGAACAGTGCTGACATGGGTCTCTTTAAGGGTTGACTTAATATTCAGTATAAACCGCAGACGTGCTACCACTATTGGCCTCCATTTGGATGTAAAACTAAACTTGTTTGGTGATTTGATGATATATAATAACCTGGTAAATAACACAATAGACCGAATTTCTCTACAAAACTTAAAGTCGACGGGCCAATAATGGAGGACTTTTGAGGATGTACTGGTGAGACACAAGTCTATATGTAGCCCTGGGTGAAAATAAATAAACTTCATTTACCTTTTGCCTACCGCCAAGGTGTGAGGACAAACTATTCCATTCTTTAAAATTCAAGTGGTGTCAAGTACTTAGTGCACTAGAAGCAGGCTGAACAGAGAGTTGGGTTGGCTCGCTTCTTGCTAACCCGCCCAGTGGCGTACAGTTGATAAGCACTCCTTACTGCTGCTTGATCAGAGAGCGCCAAAATGTTAGTATATAAAATACCCGGGTGCCAAATGGATGAAAGAAATAATTTACAAGAATAAATTTTTTGAATCACATTTTTATCTCATGTCAAAATAGGCTCAACTTGCAAAGCAGTCTGAAGCCGAAATAGCACGAATTTTTACGCACTGTAACAAGCTCAAGGAAGTACAGGTTATTTTCATTGTAAGCTGAACAACTGTGAAACTTTTCTTTGTTCCTCGAACCCAATAATTGAAAACTTCTCTGATAAAATTCAATCTGCCGAAAGTGTGTAGTTAGTTTGGCGGAAATAGTACATCGGAAGGAATGGGATTGTGCAGTGTTCTCATCTTTCGAAAGACGGAATATTTAAATACAACAGTATGAAACACGTGGAGTTTGGTGTCACCTCGATTGGTGATGAAACGTTTGCAATCCAACTGCCAAGCTCGGCGAACAGACCAACAACCAAACAGCGAACCCGAGCTACCTACATCCCACAACATTGCAGGATCGTTGAAACAACCGACTTCCAATTACTTTTAGAAAGCTTCATTCACATAGCAACCGGTTACTGAGACTCATTCTTAAGAAGCCTGTAGACATTTTTTACTCACGCAGTTTCCACCTTCGGGACATGTCGTATTCTATTCTACTTTCGGACAATTTCCCATTGATATTAAGCACCACTTCAAGTGAGTGGTCACTGGACCTCCGTCTGAGATGGGATTGATTTATTTGGATATACCTCAATAATAAAATGCACGCACCAGGGATACGCAGCTTTATGATGTCACTTCATCGGTTCATTCAGCAGGTACATTCACGTTACACAAAACGCACGCGACTTTTGAAAAGTAGATCAAAGCTTATTGAGAATAACAGTTTTCTGAAGTTAATACACTAATCATAGGGTTGCTGAAAACTCTTAAGCACCCCACGCGTGGAACTATTCAAATGGCTTCAGTCTCCGAACTTCTCCACACCTTAGGTTTATCTTGAATCCAGCTTAGATAAAATGTGACTGATACTGGTTCCTGCATAATTTAATTCTAACGGGAGATTCAGCTGATTTCTGCTAAATCTCTCGTTTACACTAGTCTTCTTTAACTGAATGTGCTGCATCAAACTGCCTGATGTCTTTCTTTGTTAAAACATAGGTTAAAACATAGGTTTGAAAAGAATCTGAATTATGCTCATACCTCAAAATCTAGGAAGAGCCGAACTGGTCAAGGACTGTCTAGGAGTCTTTAGCAACACTAAGAGTGGTGTGTTAAGGTAGTGTGCTGCAGTGCCTTGAATATGGCACCAAATAAAACATCATGCAGTCTGGAGCAGTACATTCAGTTGAAGTGCACCACACTAAATGAGAATTCATCTGAACCTCTTTTCAAAGCCGAATTCATGTGAAAGTAAGCGTATCTGCCAAACATAATAGTTAGTCGTTAACGCAATACGTGGTCGTTAATGAGTTATGGTACCTGCATGAGTAACTTTGTTGTCAACTACAAACTGCGTGCGCACCTATTTTCGTCACATTACGGAACAAACTTGAGTCGTCTATGGGGGAATAAACGGACAATACTCCCAAACCTAATGTTTTCACAGAAACATTTTTGGGAAAAAAAGAAGATAAATCACAATACAGTATATTTTTGTTGCAGCAGCGAGCAGCGAAATGCCAAGGCTGTGAATAATAACTTGGCAGTTATCTCATACGCTCATAGGTTTCCCTAATTGTACGTAAAGTTCACGGTTGTTCAGTAAATACTGAAAATCCCGTGGCCTTAAAAATAATGTATACTGAACAAGTGTACCTAGAACACAGTTCAAAGTTATCACTGAGCACCATCTCATGAATGGACAAAAAATATTTGGGGTGATGGTGCAGATGGTCTAGAAAGAATTTCTTTTTGTTGGCAATATATGGGGGTAAAAGACGAAGTTCGCAGATACTGAGGAGCATTCATGGCACTTCAGCGTCGAAATGATATTTCATTTTGGTAGACAAAACCCATTTTATAAAAGCGGACGAAAGCCGTTAAATGGAGACCACACTTTGAGATATCTTAAATCCTTTGTCATTGCTGTTATGGAAAGTAGTATCTTTCAACACAGCAAAGCATCCGTCAACACAGATTTGTTAAATAATTTGCAGGCCCACTTTATGGATCTAGTTTTACTTCGTGCAAATTGGTACAAGCATAAACCATTCAAACACCTGTGTAGTGATACGATAGTGTCCTTACATGCCTACAGAAGCGCATCTTTTTTCGTGAATGGAGTGAAATGACAACAGAAGAATCGTTTTGCAGGTTCACTAGACAATGGCACAATACCAGCTTGTGCTGGTAAGCAGGATTGTACACCGTGCTCACACAACTTGCCGATGTGCGCTTTGCATTGGCTAGCCTCGTTAGCGTCACGCTTACCTAAGGACGTGTCTCCTATGCGTTTATTTCACCGTATACTCCTTTATTTCTTTTCAGAATACTTTTTTCGCCTGACGAAATATAAAAGTTGCTCTAAAGTTATTATGAACACTTGCTCTTGTTTTTAGAGATAGTTTGTTAATTGGAATGAGGAATAAATACAAAATTCCAATCATTGATATATGTGTCCCTAATAGAGGAAACTATCAAATTCGTTTGACAACATCCGCGATTGGTAAACAGTAACTGAAAAATTTTGGACAAAAACGGGCTGCGTTGCGTGTTGCTGTTGAGCATTCATACAGCACAAAATTAATTAACAGAAGACGTAATTTTGAGAGAATTAATCAACTGCCTTAAAGTCGGTAGGAGTGCAAATGATATTATTTGCCAAGCTTTTTACATAAGAATTTCGCAACTCATATGTTACACTGTTGTAAAGATGAATTAGTGAAACTTCTTTTGCACATAATCATGTAGATATACAATATGCTCCTTTTTGATATTTTTATTTTACGGAATCCTGGTTCTTCCCAAGCGGCCAGAAACGAAGTTGCCTTTAGGACCTCCAGAAAGTTTTCGGGATTCTGAATTTGATAGTAGGGTACATTTGCCTGTTTGACCTGAGGGCAGAAGTTTGGAAACAAACTCGTTCAGTATAGCCGTTCCTGGGTAAAAATGTTCCACACAAGAGGCCATTTGTCTTTGTATATGCATCTTCTATCTAACTATCAGTCTGTACCACAGGAATGGTAAATAATGGTACCGTTTTGAAAATTTATGATCTTCACATGCAAACTACTAAAAAACAAAGAATTGTCGAAAAGTCCCAGCTTTGACGTAAAATATTCGGCACTCATAACGGCCTTTGTGCCTTTTCAATGAACTTACGCTAGATATTGGAACTTGAGAAATACGATAGCTCTACGATAGTGTCACGAAAGATATTTTGCATTATTCTATTTTTTGCTGATATCATTCCGGCGATTACGTTAGATTAAATCGGACTGTCCGATCTGAATAACCAATTATTTAAGAATTAATCATTTATCATAGCCAGCAAACATTCGACACCTGTTTTTTCGATTCTGTACGCAGGCAGACACTGCAGTCTCCAAAAGAATAAGTGGGGAGGCATCACTTTGGGATGTGTTCTTAGTTGAGGCTCAGCTAAATCAGGCATGTTTATGAAGCTAAAATCGCACAATCATTCTGCATTTGATAATGAAAGTTCCAATGTTGCGGTAAGTAAAAGTGTGCAGGAGAATATATTGTGTTGGTTTGTTTATCGTATAATGACCCCAGTCCATAAAACCGGGAAAGAGCTTTACAAAATGAATAACAACTCAATCTGTGTCCTTGGGGTTCACTGTACATCAAATTATCCCGACTGTTCTACGTGCCAAGACCGCACCGTAAAAACAACGGAACGGTACGAAATCATACAGAAGAACAACGTTTTGCAGAATCTTTTTCTTATCCATCACCATATCCAGTTACGTGCATTTCAAAGCTTGAGAACCAGAAAGTACGCGTGTACTTGAATTGCTTTCGGACATGGCTAAAAATTGGTACAATTATGTCAAACAAAATAGTTAAGATACATCAAGTTGCATTAAAATGATCAAGTAAACCATAAAGTCGAGAAAGACAAAGTGGTTAATTTAGTGTTTGGTTTTGTTAACCGGAAGAAAGCAATAAAAAGTTCGGATATATTTTTTCATGGGTGGTGTGATTTCTGCAATCCAGGCCAGTAAGGCCTATGCTGCCTCAGATGCTTCCATCTTAAAAACAACGTTACAAAATTTTAGATCAAGATCTCAGCCTCAAGGATAATGGAGTTAGTCCATGAAAAGCGGATATTTTGCCTTAATCTGAANGGCGATTCCTATCTGCTTTTACCGACGTTTGTGAGCAACTGTTAGCAGCTCGACTTCCACAAAAGAAACTCTAGAAGAAATGTTATGGTTTGGTGGTGGTGCATAAAACTCTTCACAAATGGTTGTTTTGGGCGCGTTCTTCCAAATCTTTGGTCCAATACTATACAAACGGAATTTAGTTTACCACATTTATCGTCGACCCGACACAGTATGTTTTACAAGACTTCTTATTACATGGGAAAACTTATCCGCCGTGAAGAACTTGGTGCATCTGCAAGCGCAGCATTCAGCAGTGACATGAGATCCGATTAACTAACATACATCTTTCACCAGCTATAAACTTGAGACTTTTATCTACCAAGCTGGATATTTCGAACTATGCAGTGCCAAAAATGCTAACACCGTTTTAATTTCAAATGCCCTGTCATATTTCTTTCCGGGGAGTTTAGCCAAACCAAATTCGATTCACCTGACGTACTTTGTAGGCAAATCATCCATACATTCGTTGCATGAGTTAAACAGCTTATCCAAATTGATCGTTTGGTTGCTTGTCCACAGCCGCTAAATCCCTGTACATGGATGGACGAACATTGCTAGTGACGTATTTTCATGGCAACGGATGGCGTATTCAACAATATGCCCTCGAATGTTAAATCAAATCACTCTAACAACTAGTTTTTCATATCTATCGTGATAGAACCAATAGGGAACACTTAAGCTACTGTCATCATCTGATAACCAGTCAGGTAGAGTGACGACTTGTTTCACCGTACAAACATGTATGCCCTGAGCAACAATTCACTCAAAATATTCAGCACGTCACCGTTTACATTGTGCCTGGTCTACCATCTTTCTAAATTTGATGATAATGGTAAGAAACCATCAGCTGTAGCACGTTTTTGTCATCAAACTGCCGTTACACAGGGGGAGACGCAACGGCTGGGATACTTCGAAGTTGATCAAACCTGAATTCAAGAGGCAGATGTCGATATATCGAAGCAAATTCGCGCTCTAAGTACTGAGAATTGGTGTTCTGTCCTGTACAAAGTTGATACTCTTGCCTGCAATTTTTCATATACATGATAGGTCTATCCATGTAAAATGAGTAGTTTATTGCTCAGATGGAAGACTCAATCTAACACCCACCTCACACTCATCGGTTTGACGATGACCCCTAGAACATACCCACTCCTGCATCTCATTCAATCCAGCACCATAGCAAAGGAATATTTGCCAACCTAACGTCAAAAGTAGAATAAAAATAAGTGTTTTATCTCTCTGTGTTTTTGTGATCAAATAAATTAAGCCAAGCCATCGGCTAATGTAGGCAGTGTAGTAAACCGTTCATCAGGACCATTTATTCAAAGCATTGTCAGCTAGAAGACTGGTTGGGTTTACCGGTGATTCAAACTCTTATGACATCATAGAATATAGCACTCGGTGTTGAACAAATTCGGCCCTGGTTTTGAACTTTTAAATGCTGGGATATCCAAATGTCTTGGTAGCATAGTAAAGCGAACTCAATATCTGAAAACTTGCCAAAAATGTAGTTACAGTAACAAGTGTACGATTAGCAGTGTTTTGATTTAAAGTGCTTAGACACAAACAAACCAAAATTATTATACTCGTCAGTTACGGAGTATTTCGTAAGTAACGAGAAACTGCGAGGCCTCCAGTACCTTTGATAAAAGATTTAAGACAAAACACTGTATACCGTTCATATCCATGACTTTGAGGACTGCCAAAACGTTCACAGGGTAGATGTTGTGAGAATGAGCGGAAATCAGTTTCATCAACTCACGTACTAGCCAGATTCTCGCCGGATAGCCGAAAATCACCAATAGGTTCATTATTCGCGTATAGTCAGTATTTATATAAACTTGCCTAAACGTAAAATAATTTATGTTGAAAGGCATTGAGAAGTTAATTTTGATATACATACAGTTTGGAGAACGTCCCCAAAACAAACTTTGCACGGACCACAAGATGTCTTTTACTGTCGAATGCAATATTGTAAGAATAGGCAGCAAGAAAAATTCTTCGTCACTCAAATTTTGAACTACTGAGTGATTTCCAAAAATTAAAATTGAAAACGGAGCCATCAGCACTCCTAGTACCGGTCAACATGTACAGGGAAGAATACAGATGAAAAGATTGGGAGTAGACCCTCTGTACATTGAGGATTTTTTAGCATGAGGCAGATAGCAGAACCATTATGATTGAACAAGCACAAAGCAACTGTTTCTACTAATAACACGCTGCGTTGAATGACTATGTGGATTTCAGCATGGAACTAGCGTCAAATCCTACACTGGCGGTAAATAATAAAAAGCCCATTTTTTATTGGAGACCCATAGGCAGGTTGCTTAAACTGTTCATTAATTCGTCACATGGTAGTAGAAGTATTCGGACATGGAACAGAGTAAGGACTGTTCAAAAACAGCATAATGGCTGAGAGTTCCGCGTAGTCCAAAACTGCCTACAGTCAACCGGAAATGAATTCCCTGGTGGTCTGTGTGTGAGACCCTGAAAAGCAGTTAAATCAATGAACATCGCTGGGTCGTTTCTCGGGAAGATCAGTCGCACCGTACAAGCGTGAGCACGCCTGTTTGTTCAGGTGTGATAATTCACACGCACTTGGCGCGAAACGAAGGGGAAATGCGTTTGTCCTGCACTTTAGGTTTTATACGACCACAATTATGTAGTGTTAATGCCGCATAAAGGGAACGAAAGGAAGAAGGCCTTCACTCCGGAGTAATTTATTGTCAACTGAACAGTTGCAGACTGCTGGACAGGGGAGCAACACTCTAATGCATCTTGTTTACAAAAAGTAAGTGTTCATTTTCAATTTAGACGCGTCTTTTTGAACTTTTCTGGACATTCATTGTGTGTCCATCAAATTCAAGCAAATGCTACAAAGCAAATCCACCAATTTTGGAATAGATCTACCTTTTCAAGAGACGCAAGGAGAATTTACAAGAAAACATACTACTCACGTGCCTCCTCCATCGGTACTATCATCATTACATAGTTAGTATAAATTTGCAAGGAATGGTTTGAATCTTCAGAAGAGAGATTCTGTGAAGCTGCTTTATTTTTAAAAAATTTCTCAACATACACTAGCAGTTTTTATGCCAGATATGCCTTTTCGAGAAGAAAATTTAAAGATGAAATATTTCATAAGTTGACCCTACATCTGACACACTGCATTCGACATAATGTAGGTTACGATATCTTTTATTGATGAAGCAGGAATTATCTTCAACAGAAAACAGTGGAAAGCCCACCAATTTGGGTGTATCCAGAATTCATAAAACATCACATACGCAGTTGTTTTCAAATTCTGCTAAACAAGTGCTTATGAAACTGGGTGCAAATGAGAGTTTACTTCTTTGTTCTGTAACCGTTTATTTTGGGTTTCCTAACAAGCGACTCCGTAAGGAGGGGCTTCCTCCTTTCATTTGGTGCCATCGCCGGGACACAGATAAAGATCCCATGGCCACAACAGTTTGCGGATGGGGATATGTGGACTACCCTAGAAGATTTCGAGATGTTGAAAACGGGCACAATCGGGAAAGCTAACAATGCGTACAACTCATCGGTTTTGCCTGTGATGAAGGGAGACGGAAAATACCGGTTTTAAGTGTATTTAGGACGTCTGAATGCCAGTTGTGCCCTGACTAATGCCGAGCAGTGGTGCTCGACTTTTGAGAATGGTTAGCGATCACCTGGGCCCTATATAATTGAAGGCCATACATGCCCGGTCATTTCAAGACAGATCACAGAGTCATGGAGCGGATCAAAGCCACCAGAGATTCTCACGGAAAGCTCGCGCGTTGAAAAACCCATTTACAAGACTACAACGTCACGATCCGACAGGTGCCAGGAAACCAATCTGGCTGATTGGTTGTCAAAAGCAGAGGCTGAAGATGAAACCCCCAGCAATACGATTGGCGCCAATAGCCTCGTTGTCAAACTCGATCCCGTAAGGTTGTTGCAAACCCAACAGCAGGAACTTGTGTTACTGAAAATCGCAGCCGCTTTGTTGAATGGGATGAATATTGAGAACGGAGAGGGAGATAAGTAATTAGAAACGTTCTAGTGTCAAATTGATCAGCTTATTTTGAGTGACGCTGGCATAATTTCCTGGAACGCCACTGAATCTGATGTTATGCTGACCATGATACCTTGAATCTTGAGATGGAAACTTATCGTCGAATACCACGAGATGGCACGCACAATGTGCACCAAGATAAACGGCCTATATCGGCAGGGGCCTACTGGCCCGGAATGA